AGAGAAACTTGCTGCAAAGATCCCCCCACTCGCAATTTACTGTTTCTCTTCTAATTTTACCTGCATTGGTGGTGGTGGTGTAAAAAAAAGGTTTTTTTTAAATTTACTAAGTAAAATTATTAAGGAAAAGAGCCATTCTCTAGTTGATAAATGGTCAAAGAACATGAATACTCAGATTTCAAAGGAGGAAATCCAAGATATCAACAACCATATTTTTAAATGCCCTAAATCATTAATAATTAGAGAAATGCAAATTAAAACAAAATTTTTAGTATTACCTTACACCCATCAGATTGTCAAAGTTGACAAAAAGATGGAAATGACAAATACTGAAAGAGCTGTGGGAAAACAGGTTACATTAATGCAGTGTTGGTGGAGATGTAAAATGGTCCAGCCATCCTGGAAAGCAATTTGGATCTATGCTCAAAAAGATAATACTGTGAATACTCTTTGATCTATACTACTAGAGCTATAATCCAAAGAGATCAAAGGAAAAGGATTTTTACATACAAAAATATTTATAATAGCTCTTTTTGTGTTGGCAAAGAACTGAGAACTGATGTGTTATCTGGCAATTATGGAATGGCTGAACAAACTGTAGTTTCTAAATGAATTAGAATACTACTGTACTGTAAGAAATAATAAAGGGGATGGTTTCAGAGAAACTTAAACCAGGCTTGTATGAAATGATGCAGGGTTAAGTGGGCAGAACCACAAAAAAAATTTTTACAACACATCATAAAGTCAAACAACTTTGAAAGCATTAGAAACTGATCAATATAATGACCAATTATAATCCCAGATGACTAACAGTGCAACATGCTACCACGATCCTAATAGAGAGGTGACAGACTTAGAATGAAGACTGTAACACTTTTTTTTAAGATGGCTAAGGCAAGAATTTGCTTTTCTTTACTATAAATGTGTATAAAAGGTTTTGCTTTCCTTGCTTTCTCAATGAAGGGGAGGAGCGGAATGTAGAAAAGGTATATCTTTGTAAAAATAAAATTATTTAATTTTTAAAAATATACTTGAAACAAAAATATTCATACTGTGATCAAATGAAGGGCTAAAGCAGAAACTATGAAACTTCAGGTTAACTGAAATAAGCAGAGATTTCTATCATTATTTTGGATGAAGTTATAGCAAAACTAGACTCGATAAAAAGAGGTGAACAGGGAAACAAATGATGCTTAAAGGCATCATAAATAAGAAATCAATATCAGTACTTACATACATTTACTTCACTGTATAGCATATAAATACTTAAAGGAAAAGTTAATTAAATTGTAGGAGAAATAAACATTAAGCAGTACAAGTAGGGAGTCTCACTTTAGGGGATAACTTCTGGGAACCAAGACGGCAGAGTAAGAAGTAAGTTGCTCTCACCTTTCCTTAGTGACCTCTGAAAGCCCAGAAAATATCACCCCAGGAAAAACCCTGGAACAGCTGAGTCAGCAGAAAGGCAGGATGCAGCAGGCTTGTAGCCCAGGAAGCTTGAGGGATAATGGGAAGGCCTCTCTTGTGGGGGGGGGAGAATGGTAAAGCAGTACAGGAACAGGAGTCCCAGCAAGCCAGTGGCAAGCCCCACCTCAGCAAAGCTGGGGGAGATCCTGAGCCCCAGGGTGGTGGAGCAAGCAAGCACCAACACCAAGACACCTGAGTGCCTCAGCACAGGCAGGGGAACCAGTAAACACTAGCGTTCTCTAGCAGCCAAACCTCCCAGTGCTTCAACACAGCTCCTGAAAGTACAACCCCAGGAGGCATAGCTCCAGGCTGGCAGACATCCTCCAGCAGCCAAACATTTGAGTGCTTTAAAGAAGCCTGGGTGAGCAGGCATCCTCCAGAGGCCAGACTTTCCACCCCTATCTTGAGAGCTCCAGTGGTGCTGACCCCAGCTCAGCACAAGGTAAGCTGCCAAAACCCTACAGACTCCAGCTGCCAGCACCTGAGGCCCCAGCACACAAAGCCAGGGACCAGGTCCTGGGCTCCCAGCACAAGAAGCTTAGGGCAGTGCCCTCTGCGCTTCAGCAGGAGAACTCAACTTAAAAAGCTGGGAAATAAGCAAACACCATGAGCAGAAAGCAGAAACAGACAATGACCACAGATTCTTTCTATGAGGACAGAGACGATCAAGGCAAAAATTCAGAAGAGGACAACACTGTCAACATACCCACATGTGAAACCTCAAAGGGAAAAATGAACTGGTCTCTAGCCCAAAAAGCCTTCTTGGAAGAGCTCAAGAAGGATTTTAAAAGTCAAATAAGAGAGGAAGAAGAAAAATTGAGAAAGGAAATGAGAGGTATGTACGAAAGAATCAATAGCTTCTTAAAGGAAGGACAAAAACTGACTGTAGAAAACAAGTCCTTAAAAAATACAATTGGCTTCGCTGAGGAGAAGAACTACTTAAAAAGTAAAATGAGTCAAATGGAAAAGGAGGTACAAAATCTAACAGAAGGAAACAATTCATTAAAAATTAAAATCAGGCAAGTGGAAGCTAATGACTACAAATCAGTCAAACAGAAACAAAAGAATGAAAAAAAGTAAGACAATGTAAAATACCTCATTGGTAAAACAACTGACCTGGAAAATAGATCAGGAGAGACAATTTAAAAATTATTGGTCTACCTGAAAACCATGATGAAAAAAAAAGAGCCCGGACAGCACCTTTCAGGAAATCCTCAAGGAAAACTGCCCTGAGGTCCTAGAACCAGGAGGTAAAATAAGTTGCTGAAAGAATCCACTGATCACCTCCTGAAAGAGATCCGAAATTGAAAATGCCAAGGAACATTGTAGCCAAATTCCAAAATTACCAGGTTAAAGAGAAAATACTGCAAATAGCCAGAAATACACAATTTAAATATCATGGAACCACACTCAGGATTATGCAGGACGTTGTAGCTTCTACATGAAAAGATTGGGGGGCGTGGAGCTTGGAACCCCAGTGAAATTGAGCATAATGTTTCACGGGAGGAGATGGACATCCAAAGAAATAGGGACTTTCAAACCTTCCTGACAAGATGACCACAGCTCAACAGAAAATTTGATCTTCAAATACAAGACTCAAGAGAGGCGTAAAAAGGTAAAGAGGAAAGAAAAAACAGGTTATTAATAAGGGCAAACTGTTTACATCCCTACTAGGGAAGATGATACTTGTGACTCTTGAGAACTGCATCATTATTACAGTATTTAAGAGGGGTATCCATAGAGGATGTTAGTATAAGTTGACTTTGATGTGATGATAAATAATGTAATTAAGTGGTGAAAAGAGGTTGTTCTGGGAGAAGAGGAAAGCAGGAGGCAAACAAGGGTAAACTATATCACATGGAAAGGCACCAAACCTATTACAGTAGAGGGAAAGAAGGGAGGCAGATGAGCATTGAATCTTACTTTCATTTGGCTCAAAGAGAGAATAACATAATCAGCTAGGTATAGAAATCTAACTTACCCTATAAGAAGTATGATGGGAAAAGGGAGGAAGAGGATGGATGGGAGAGAAGTAGTAAGGGTAAAGGGGAAGAAAAGTGAGAGGGATGATAGGAAGGGAGGGCAGACTGACGGAGACACTGGTTGAAAACAAAACTCTAGTGAGGAGGGAAATGGAGAAAGGAGAGAGACAAGCATAAACGGGGGTTGGGAGGAGAGTTAGGATGGAGAGAAAGACACAGATAGTAATCATAACTGCAAATGTGAATGGGATGAACTCTCCCATAAAATGGAAGTGGATAGCAGAGTGGATAAAGAACAATAATCCTACAATATGTTGTTAAAAAACCTGTTAAGACTTATATGAACTGATGCTGAGTGAGGTGAGCAGAACCAGGAGAACACTGTACACAGTAACAGCCACACTATGTGATGACTAACTTTGACAGACTTGGCTCTTCTCAGCAATGCAAGGATCTCAGACAAGTCCAAAAGACTCATGACGGAGAGTACTATCCAAATCCAGAAAAAGAATTTTGGAGTTTGAACGCAGATGGAAGCATTTGCTCTCCTTTTCTTTTGTTGTTTTGTTTTGTTTCTTTTCTCGTGGTTCCTCCCATTGGTTCTAATTCTTCTTTACATCATGACCAACGTGAAAATACGTTTAATATGAAAGTATAAGTAGAGCCTATATCAGATTGCACGCCATCTTGGGAAGGAGAGAAGGGAGATATGGGCAGAAAATTCAAAACTCAAAATCTTATGGAAGTAAATGTTGAAAACTAAAAATAAATTATTAAAAAACAAAAAACAAAAACCAAGATATACTTGGAGTAGAAAGTGAGGCCACACAACTAATTTTTCACCCCTAGGTTCTAGGTTATTTAAGGTAGATAATGTAGGGCAAAGGCCTGATGTTTAGTGTGATGCTTAGAACAAATCTATGATAAACTTTCCCCATTAGAATGGTTTCACATGTAGGATTTTCTATTTTTAATTTCAAAAATTTCAAAAAAGCACAAGGTGAATTTTGTATTCAAAGCTGAAAGGGTTTAGGTACATGAAGTTTCCTGATTTAAAAGTGAATTCATTAAGTCCCAAGATCAGGCCTTTAAATGATCAGACCTATTTTTGGCTTCAACACAATCCTAATGTTGCCAATTATACCATATGACTACTAACTCTGTATTTCTTAAATGATTACAAAGCATTTTCTCAGCAAGTTTAACACTATTTTTTTGAATTAAGAATGTATGATATAAAACACCAAATACAAATCAAGAAAATGAGATTTAAGGTTAGGGTTTAAATGATTTATATAATTTTACACAAGTGAGTAAATGCCATTTCTACTATAATTATAGTTATAACCTATATTAAAGAGAAAAGCCAAATTGATATTTTTCTCTAACATATGCTTATGTCTATTTATTAATATAAATTCAATCTCCTTTTTCTTTCAGAAAACATCTGTTTCTACATAACCACCCATAGCTATAAGTTATGTAACTTATACCACACAGTATAGCCAAGAAAAGACACTTTTACAAACCAAATAAAGATAACAAACTAACCTGATTAATGGCGTTAGCTGCACAAGATGCAAGGCCTGTTCCAACAGAGGCGAGCAGAAAACAATATAAGTCAAAAGGTACTGGAGCCAACACAAATCCAGCTGAAGCTGTACTTACGACTAAAGCTGCAACACAAAAACAGAAACAGCACCTACTATCATTATCAAAGCAACTTCCCAAACCTAAAAGCATTAAGAGAAAAAAATTAAATTCTTAAAATTCTGTTATATGTATATAATGTTGTTAGATGTTAATTTTTTTAAATGTACAGAAGGATTAGGGGTTTTGGTTTATTCTGCCAACAAATATTTATTAAGCATTTACATACCAGTTCTCAAACAGTATGCTTCCCTAGATGTGCTACAAAATTCCCCACACACCCAGACTTCCACACTACCCACTCTTGCTTCCAGCTGCAGTTTGTGGCCTTTTTAACATATATATTTGGTTCTTCATCAAACACCTTAATATTCACTTAATCCACTTAACTCCCATGACTACACCAAGTGTTTAACTTCCATGCTCATGTACTCTGAAATTCTTTCATCTGATCATAGTCTTTAATCATTTCAACTTTCTCTTATCTTATAACCTAAACCCCACTGGTCATCATCTAATTAATATACTTCTGAGTTCTTTTTCAAGACACCAACCACATATCAGCTAAACTTTCATTTCTTCCCAATCTGGATTGCTTGGTCAATCAATTCAACTGTACACGGCTGTCTATGCTCAAATTCTAGTGACACTGGGGGAGGGGAGGGTGCAGCCAAGATGGTGGAGTAAAAGCAGCAACTTGCTTGAGCTCTCCCCCAAACCCCTCCAAATAACTGTAAAAAATTACTCTAAACACATTCTAGAGCAGCAGAAATCACAAAAAGACAGAGTGAAATAAATTTCTGGCCCAAGAGAGCCTGGATGGTTGATAGGAAAGTTCTTAAAAAACAGACTAATCCAAATGGCAAAAGAAGTCCAAAAGGCCAACAAGGAGAAGAATGCCTTAAAAAGCACAACTGGCCAAATGGAAAAAGAGGTCCAAAAGCTCACTGAAGAAATGAATTCCTTAAAAATAAGAATGGAGCAAATGGAAGCAATGACTCTATGAGAAATCAAGAAATTATAAAACAAAACCAAAAGAATGAAAAAAAAAAGACAATGTGAAATACCTCACTGGAAAATAGATCCAGGAGAGATCATTTAAAAATTATTGGACTACCTGAAAGCCATGATAAAAAAAGAAAAGAACCTAGACATCATCTTTCAAGAAATTATCAAGTGAAATTGCCCTGATATTCTAGAACCAGAGGGTAACACAGAAAGTGAAAGAATCCACTGATCACCTCCTGAAAGAGATCCCAAAAGGAAAACTTCTAGGAATAATATGGCCAAATTCCAGAGTTCCCAGGTCAAGGACAAAATATTGCAAGCAGCCAGAAAGAAACAATTCAAGTAGTGTAGAAACACAATCAGGATAACACAAGATTTAGCAGCTTCTACATTAAGGGATAAGGGCTTAGAATATAATATTCTGGAGGTCAAAGGAGATAGGATTAAAACCAAGAATCACCTAACCAGCAAAACTGAGTATAATCCTTCAGGAGAAAAGCTGGACATTCAATGAAACAGAGGACTTTCAAGCATTCTTGATGAAAAGACCAGAGCTGAATAGAAAATTTGACTTTCAAATACAACACTCAAGAGAAGCATGAAAAAGTAAACAGGAAAGAGAAATCATAAGGGACTTATTAAAGTTGAACTGTTTACATTCCTACATGGAAAGATGATATTTGTAATTCATGAGACCTTTCTCAGTATGAGGGTATTTGGAGGGAATATATACATACATACATATATATATATACATATATATAGATATAGATATAGATATGGATATCTATATCTATATCTATATCTATATATATGTATATATAAACAGGGCACAGGGTGAATTGAATATGAAGGGATGATATCTAAAAAATAAAATTAAGGTGTGAGACAGGATTGTACTGGGAGAAGGAGAAAGGAAGAGGTAGAATGGGGTAAATTATCTCACATAAAAGAGGCAAGAAAAAGCTTTTACAGTCAACTGGAAGAGGGGGAAGTGAGAAGGAACGAATGAATCCTACTCTCATCGGATGTGGCTTAAAGAGGGAACAATATACACACTCAGTCAGCTATGGAAATCTATCTTACCCTATAGGAAAACAGGGGAAAAGGGATTTGTTGGGGGGGGGAGGAATGATAGAAGGGAGCATAGGTTGGGGGAGGAAGCAATCAGAAGCAAACACTTTTGAGGAGGGACAGGGTCAATGGAGAGAACAGAATATATAGGGGACAGGATAGGATGGAGGAAAACATAGTCTTTTATTCATATTATGGAAGTGTTTTGCATGACTACACATGTATAACCTATATCTAATTATTTCCTTCTCAATGAGGGTGGGCAGGGAGGGAGGAACAGAGAGAATTTGGAACTCAAAGCTTTAAAAAGGAATGCTAAAAATTTTTTTTACATGCAACTGGAAAAAAAGATATACAGGCAATGGAGTATAGCAATTTATCCTGCCCTGTAGGAAAATAGAAGAGAAAGGCAATGGGGGGGGAGGGGGCGGTGATAGAAAGGAGGGCAGACTGGTAGAAGGGATATTCAGAATGCATGCCATCTTTGGGTGATGGAAAGGGAGAGACGGGGAGAAAATCTAGAATTCAAAATCTTGTGGAAGCGAAGGTTGAAAACTATAAATAAATAAATAAATAAAAATGCTTAAAAAAATTGCTATGACACCTTCTCTTTTGATTGATTATGCCTGGCCTAACCCCAACTTTGGATTATTCCCTTTGTTGGATGCCTTTACTCCTATTCATGCAATGCTGAACAGTACTGGAGAAAATAATAGAACAGTGCTGAACGGGTGCATGACAAATTTATTATGTGATCTCAACTGGGCCCTCCCTAGAGCAAAATAGTCCCTTTCTAGTCCATTCACTATCCTACTCACCACAGCAGTTATTCTAAACCTTTTTATCTACCCTCAACCTTCCAGGGAATATCCATCTTACCACACTCTCAGTAGAGAAACACCTAGTATTTGACCCAAAAAATGGAAGCTATTTGATGAAAACTCTCTCTTCTGTCTTAATTTCACATCATTCTGACATCTTGCCCCACTATCTCTCCTTAACCCTTTTCTCTGGCACTTCTCCTCACCAAGGTAAATAATTCTAAATGCAACCTTAATTCAATCTCATTTTATCCAGCAGATTGCTTCTTCAATTGTCTCCATTCTCTAATCTTCAATTTCTCCAAATCTACTCGCTTGCTCTCTGCAAATTATAAATATGCCACCATTTCATTTCAAGTTTCCCTTGTATTTACTTTTTTCTTTTTAAAAATATTTTTATATTTTATTTTTTCCAGTTACATATAAAAACAATTTTTAACATTCTTTTTTTATGTTTTGAGTTCCAAATTATCTTCCTCCCTCTCTTATTTATCCCCTCCTTGCAAAGGCAAAAATTTAATATAGATTATATATATGCAGTCATAAAAAAAAATCCCACATTAGTCATGTTGCAAATGTCTCACACACACCAAAAACTAAAATAAAAATTTTTTAAAGTATGCATAAAGGGCAGCTAGGTGGCACAGTGGATGGAGCACAAGGCCTGGAGTCAGGAGGACCTGAGTTCAAATCACAATCCAACTTGACACTTACTAGCTTGTGTGATCCTGGCAAGTCACGTAACCCTAACTGTGTCACCAAAAAAAAAAAGTATGCTTAAATCTCATTCAAACTCTATCAGTTCTTTCTCTGGAGGTGGAAAGCATTTTTCATCATAAGTTCTTTGGAACTGTCTTGGATCACAGTATTGCTGAGAACAAGCTAAATCATTCACAGTTGATCATTATAAAATGTTGTTGTTACTGTGTACAATGTATTCCTGATTCTGTTCACTTCATTTTGCATCAGCTCATATGGCTTTCCAGGTTTTTCTGAAACTCTCCTGCTGGTCATTTCTTTCTTTCAGCGGGGGGGAGGGGGGGCGCCGGGGGCAATTGGTCACACAGGTTCACACAGCTAGTAAGTGTCAAGTGTTTGGTCTAAGGCCACATTTGAACTCAGGTACTTCTGACTTCAGGGCCGGTGCTCTATCTGCTGTGCCACCTAGCTGCCCCCATGCTGGTCATTTCTTCTAGCACAATAGTATTGCATCAGTTATATATCCCAACTTGTTCAGCCATTCCCCAATTGCTGAGTATACCCTCAATTTCCAATTCTTTGCCACCACAAAAAGAGCTGCTATAAATATTTTTTTACATATAGGTACTTCTCCTATTTTAAAATCTCTTCGGAATATAGATCTAGCAGTGTTATTGCTAGTTAAAAGGGCATGCATATTGGAATTGGAATTGCCCTTTGGGCATAGTTCCAAATCAATCTCCAGAATGGTTTAATCAGTTCACAACTCCACCAACGGTGCATAAGTGTCTCAATTTTTCCACATGCCCCCCAATATCTTCTCTCAAATTAGCCAATTTCATAGATATGAAGTGGTACCTCAGAGTTGTTTTAATTTGTATTTCTCTAATCAATAATGACATAGACTATTTTTATACAACTACAGACAGCTTTGATGTCTTCACCTGAAAACAGCCTGTTCATATTCTTTGACCATTTATCAACTGGGGAATGATTCATATTATAAATTTGGTTCAGTACTCTACATATTTGAGAAATAAGGCCTTTATCAGAGAAACTTGCTATGAATTTTCCTCATTTTTTTCTTTTCTTTTAATGTTGGCTATACTCAATTTGTTTGTGCAAAACCTTTATAATTTAATGACATCAAAATTATCTATTTTTACTCCTGTAATGCTTTCTATCTCTTCTTTTGTCATAAATTATTCCCTTATCCATATATCTGATTGACAAAATATTCTAATTTACTTGATATCACACTTTCTATCTAAACCGTATACCCATTTTGACCTTATCTTGGTATACAGTGTGAGATGTTGGTCTATACTCTATTTTCTGCTAAACTGTTTTCAAGTTTTCCCTGCAATTTTGGTCAAATAATGAGTTCTTATCCCAAAAGCTTGGATCTTTGCACTTATCAAAAA